AACTAGGTGTCTAGAGTGCTTTTAATTTATTACAAGTCATCTATGAGAAGATGTGGAACATGTTGTGGTAGACCGTAACAAGCGACCAAGGTACCATGGCTGAGTTAATCTTTCATCAGTTCCAATGGGATAACAGACCATGTGCAATTTCCTGGTATGCTTAGTTAAAAACTAAAATGCATTTTCATAGGTAACCTTAACTGGAGCTTAAGCAAATATGTTAAGAGGAGGCTGCTTTCACTTTTTGCCCAAATTCACAGTCAAACATCAATAAGGCTACCTTTCTCTCAAAGGTTCATGGATGTATATCTTGCTTGGTACTGCTTAGGACCAGTTATGAATATATCCACTCCCATCGATAAGTAATTTTGTCAATAAGAATTTTGCTGATGTGTGGTGCTACTCCATAATTATTAAAAAAAAAATATTCCCTGTATGCTGGAATTAGAAGAGCAAATGAAATACATAAAACTAACTTAGCACTTAATAATTGCTAGCTGGGGGGAAGCTTCATGTATTGTATGGGGGGACTGAATACAGAGGCACACGTGAGACCAGTAGGTTAACTGATTTCACTTGAAAAGTGCAATACTGTTTAATACTCTCTAAGATACCAGCATCATTGGTATCTAAAAGGGAGATTGTTGGCTGTTTACAAAATTCTGCTCCTTTGCTCAGATTATATAGATAAACAGTAACATTTCTAGGCAATAATTTCTCCAACATTTGACAAAGCAAAATAGCATTTTATAGGCCTTATACCAGGTTCTTCAACAGAATGAGGGACGTTAAACATATGCAGTAATTTTGGTTTTACATCTTCATTAAAAATAAGAACCTTGTATTCAGAGAGTCAAATATCATGTAAGTTAAGTACCCTCCTTGATAAGTCCATATTCAGATGCAGTCTCTGTACTAGGTACAACACAGTACTCCCAGCAGAAGCTGTGCACTGCCGCTTTTTACAAGATGCATCACTTCTGCAATCTAATAGTAAATTACAAATCAAGTCTGACCTTCAGGTTGAAGTACAAGGCCCATTGTTTTCTGCTGCTCTTCACTGAGAGGAAGACTGAGTGGCTTTGCCACCGCTTTGACCTGCTGGGATTTGATACTCCAACAATGACTATTTCCTCTCAGTTACACTGTGTGCAGGGAACTGAAGTTCTAGTGCTTAAAGTGTTGCTGAGAGTAAAAGCAACAAAGATGATAGCGTGGCCACTAACTGAAAGCCTTTTTGGACCTTAATTAAACAGTACAAATAGAGCAGTACGTAAAGCATAGCTGGAAAATGTAGTTGAGGAGTCATGTTCTGGAGCACAAATTTGTCCTATGGATGATACTCCAGTGAGGGCTAGCAATTACGTGTTCCATGCAGAAGTAAAACTATCTTTTTTGCAGGAAGCAAAAAGTTCTGTAAAATCATCTTAGAACACAGATTTTAATCTGTGTTCTTTACAAAATAAACCCACTTTTCATTTGTAAATATAGAAAAGCTTGTTAAAAGTACATGATGCATGAAATAAATGTAGAATGCCATCAAATGTTTTGAATGAGAAAAGGTTTCATCTCAGACTGAAGTTCAGACAGGCAACAACTGCCTTTGGTGTTACTGAAATACAGTAAACCTCTTGTCAGCTGTCCGAGTCCTCAGAGCTGTATTTTATGTCCAGCTAATTACTCGGAGAACAGAAAAAAAACAGCAACTGTGTTTCACACGTCTACGAGTATCTGTAACACTTTCAGAGCCTCTTTTTTGACTTAGGGTTTGTTTCCTGTGTTGTAGCTGTAGAGCAGAACCCTTATTCTCACGCTGCATTGCGGTTCAACTCTAGGGTTGTGCTAGTGATAGGAACTCCAGGCTCCCACTGTTTGCAAATAGGTTCACGCAGTCAGGGTTCACAGCCACTGAAAAGCGGAATAATTTTAACAAAATGCTAAATTATGAGAGCTACATTTGGAAACAGTTTTAGTCTCCACAGCCTTTTCCTTGGTGAGTTTACAGGTCATGCAATTTCTAAAAGACGTACAGAGAAACACATAGCCCCACACCTTGGCCACCACTGAAGGTCAGCTATGTGAACACCTCTAGGTATCACGCAAAGTAGATATGTAGCAATATGTACTAACTGATAGAAAAATGAGCAGTTAGCTGTGCCTTTTCAGGTTGGACATCCAATGTCACAAACCTCAGCCTTCCATAACTCAAGGAGGTGCAGTGTATGACGTTCTGTCTAGATACCTGCAGATTCACAGGTCTTTCTTTCAACATGGAACACGGGTTTGGCTTTTCAAAATATTTTTTTAATTATCTCATCTCTCAGTTAGATCAAAGTTTCCTCTTTCTTTATCCTGTGGGAACCCTTTCTAAGCTTTCATTTTCAACATGTATGTGATTTCTTAAGAGACACTCCTCAGGCCATACAGCTCTGCCACCTTCGCTCTGTAGCAAAGCCAGTAAGATAAATCTACTTTTCATTGACTCCCCAGGGACAAACTATCCTGTCTTTGAGAAGCTGCCTGCTCTTATTAGTTCCTCAACAGCAGGAAGCTGAAAGAAACTGCTGCAGAGATGTAGCCATCTCATCATCAAGTGACAGCTCTGCATTCATGTACTGTACTCGTTACTTCACATTAAGAGTTTAGACAAAGCATTAGTCTTTCAAGGCATCTGGCACAGGTCAGAGCCTTTTTGCTACAAAATTAAGCAAACTGTTGAAGGTTTCAGGTCCTAATTCTCACCTTAGCTTGGCTCCCCTTGTTTATTATGTGACGGAGAATGCTCATCTGACTTAGATGTGCTCATCTGATTTAGAGCTATCACAGAGGGCCACAGGCATAACAACGAATTTTGTTAAAGGATGGCTCATTTGGGGGCTTTTCCTTTGATGTGAGAGATCTTAATTTACAATTCAGCTTTTGAAACTGAAGCTGTGAACCTGAACCTATACCCCAGTGTTAAGTAGTACACCATTTTCCCTTTAATATTTCCATTAACAGAAGAGTCTCCACAGTCACTTATTTGTCACCAGGTGCTGTCTTACTGATTCATGAATTATGACTGATACTTTTTTCCTACAAAGCTAAATGCTCTCACAAAGAATGAAAACTAAATTCTTGGAAATTAGAGGACTGTAGTAAATAGCTATGAGGTTTATGGCACTAACTAATAATACATCTTTATCATTGACCAAAATGCAAACCAATTGCTTCTATTTCCCTGCATTGAGTAATTCAAAAATACTGACCTTGATGACTCAAGACTTAATCAAAAAACCACAGCTGCTCCTAAAAATAATTATCATCTTTGCAGATGCGGCAGATGGTGCTACACCAAATAAGAAGAGGTAATTTAAAGAATTCCCCAGGTTATCACTAAAGAAAATTAATCTTGCGAAACAATACGAGAAATTTCAATTTCCTACCATCTTGAACAAGCATATCCAGCTTCCAAAAACTTGCTGTTCAATAATTGTTCCTAGGTTACAATTTCAATAAAAAATAAGTGATCATTATATATATATTTTGAACCAATCCTATTATAGCCCTAGTGCTTTTCATCTTTTAATTATGATTCTTAATCTCAGCATTTTGAACACACAAAACATACTGATCCATGAAAAAGATTATCTTGATAAAGGAAGAAAACTGAACGCAGTGAGGTTTCTCAGCACAATTAACTCCAAGCTATAGTCGGCTAAATTTCTAATGTTTTGAACACCATGAGCAACAAAAAAAGGAATTAATCTCATTTTGAAATAGACATATGAGACAAATGAAAGCATGGCAAAATACTTCAGCATATCCTTACCTTTATACTCACAAATAGATCTGAAAGCCACTAGAAACTGAGGAAGGCAGCTAGCCTAATCCAGACCCTAAGCAAGCTGCAGTTCTGAAAGACATGCAGCATTCAAACGGCATCCTTTAACTTCAAAGTCTTTTTGAAGTGGACAGACTAGTCATGCTCTTTCCTCATGCTACTTTCAGATTTTTACAGTTTTGAAATTTACCTTTACATGTAAACAGGTCAACAAAGTCACTAGCAGTAAAATCTTCAGATGTAACACTGTCAAAGTTACTATTTTAATCCATAGAATTGGTTTTTATTCAGTCTGGACCATGTGTACACTTCAGTCA